AGCAGAATTAGGTAAATCCCATAAGTTCTTAATGTTTATCAGATTAAGGCAAACCAAAACTTTACATTAGCCTCTCAAACTTTTTTCCAACTACCAAATATTTCGATATGCTTTTTTTCATTAACAAAGCGAAAACACTTGCATTTTCCTTTCTTATTATAAGAGAAATAAAAAGTAACTAAATAAAACAATTAAATTGCGGAATATTTGTCATGGCCTGTAAAATTGCGTTCTATGTGTATTCAGCATTAATATGTAGAAGGAGTACTTTCGTGAGGAGAGGTTCATAATCAACAGATATGATAGAGAAAAAAGAAAGATTTAGAAGAACAATGTGCCTAATAAAGAAAATATTATTTTAAACCACCTACTATTTATTGAGATATTTGGCCATTAGATCTCAACGCATAAATAGTTAAATCACTAAATAAAAAAATTTTAATATGTTGGAATGATAGTTGATAAATAACACAATGGATGTGAATGTTATCTTTCCATAAATTATGTACATGAAACTTGCATGTAAATAACAAGAAAATGTAGTTAGGGTCACCTAAGTGCATCACTGCTGCTCAAACATTCAATTAGGAACCTTTTATTAGTTAATTTAATAAAATTATATCGTTTAATAAATTTTATTTTTGGTAGTGGAGACAAAATATCATTAAAGGTCTGAATAATAAAAGAAAGCAAGATTATTACACTCTGGATAAATAATTAAAAGAGCATGTTAAGTTATTATAATTTATGTATATTTTATGAATTTTTATAAATAGTGAATTTAAGAGGAATAATTGTTATATGTACCTGACCTCTAACTCCACCGTTTATTTAAACATCGGTTCTTTTCTCTTCGCGTTGCTTACATTTTTAATGTCGTTTTTTGCTTATTTGGTATCTCTATCTCATACCTAATTGCCAACCAGATAATACCGTCATTGTTCATCATAGCAACAACTGCTGTTGCTTACTTGCTGTTGAATAAAAAGAATTCACAAAAGAAAACGTTCACAGACCCAAATGTGAAGCATGCACTTCGTCTGATTGATAAAAAAGTATTTTGTTCTATAGAATATTTAAGATTTTAAGCCATAATGCAAAACGCTTTAAGTTTGAACTTGCTTCTCACGACTCGATTTCTGGTCTCCCCATTGGTATTTTTTTATTATAATGCTCTTAGGAAATCACATTTTTCTTAGTGCCCGCATTAATAACGAACTCGTTGTTCGGCCGTATACACCAATATCTTTGTCACTAACTGAAGGATACCTTGAGTTTATCATCAAAGTAACTTCTTACTCAGTCATTGGCGTTGGTTTAGATTTATAAATCCGGCATTAGCACTAAGTTTCCAAATGGCGGCAAGATGTCTCAACACTTGGATAATATGACTATTGGAAGGTATATAGATGCACGGGGACCCACTGGTCACATTTCCTATTCACTCAATGGTAAGCTAGTATCTGTTACCACACTACAATGTTTTGTATCATTAATATTTGAAGTTACATAATTTACATTAAAATAGTTCTTCGCTTGTTTTTGTTGCTTGCAATTTTGTTACTTTTTATCGTTTCATTCACATATATTATTTTAAATTTAGGCAGGTTTATGGTTAAGGAGAATAAAAAAGCACCATCTAAAGAAATTAAAGGAATTTATATTAACATGATTGCCGGAGGCACAGGTATTACTCCAATCTTGCAAGTTGCGCAGTATATACTTATGGAAGAGAAGAATAAAAGTCTAAAATTCAGGCTCGTCTTATCGAATACTGTAAGTTATCCCGTTTTAA